GGAGGGAGTGAGGGAGGAGTTGGGGAAGAGGGGGTGTTGGGGGTGATATTGTAGGGGGATGCTGGGGAGGAGTGAGGAGGTGTTGGGGAAGAGGGGGTGTTGGGGAGTGGTGTTGAGGTCACTGTTGGTGGGGGTGACCCGTGTATACTGATGGAACAAATCTCTGGGACACAAAAACGTGGGATAGTGAGGATGTTTTCTGCAGGAGGAGCTGGTGACGGAGGAGAGGGAAGGAACACACACACACATACAGGGAAAGGTCCTCTCTCCCTCCATCCCTTCCTTCCTCCCTCCATCCCTTCCTTCCTTCGTTTCTCTTCCTTTTAATTCTCTTGTTACTTTTTACTCTACTACAGCTTCCTCTCTCCGTCCTTCTCTCTTTTCACTTTCATCTCCTTCTTTATTATATCCTTACACATTTTTATTTCTTCCTCCCTTCTTGCCCTCTCTCCCTCTTCCTTCTTTACTACCCTTCCTTCCTTCCTTCCTTCCTTCCTTCCTTCCTTCCTTCCTTCCTCACCCAGTAGATAACACAGCCTCACCACCCACCACCCTACATTTCACTACTGATAGAGGCGTGAACCACCCCCTCACTCCCCCCATACCGTCATCAATCAGTGGTCTGTCTTGACTCGCTGCCCCGATGAGAAGGATTGGGTAATGGGTTAAGTGTCCTCAATGATTGGTAGGTGATGATTGGGGAGGGGGGAGGGGGGAGATGAATTGGTTTTAATGGATGGAGAGTTATCCTGAGTGAATGGGTGGGAGGTCAGTCTCTCTCTCTCTCTCTCTCTCTCTCTCTCTCTCTCTCTCTCTCTCTCTCTCTCTCTTTTCCAAACTTCAACAATAAACACTACGCATCAGCTGACCACTGTTTACCTTCCTCAGCTGACCAATGTTTACCTTCCTCAGCTGACCACTGTTTACCTTCCTCAGCTGACCAATGTTTACTTTCCTCAGCTGACCAATGTTTACCTTCCTCAGCTGACCAATGTTTACTTTCCTCAGCTGACTACTGTTTACCTTCTCAGCTGACCACTGTTTACCTTCCTCAGCTGACCAATGTTTACCTTCCTCAGCTGACCACTGTTTACCTTCCTCAGCTGACCAATGTTTACTTTCCTCAGCTGACCAATGTTTACCTTCCTCAGCTGACCAATGTTTACTTTCCTCAGCTGACCAATGTTTACCTTCCTCAGCTGACCAATGTTTACCTTCCTCAGCTGACCAATGTTTACCTTCCTCAGCTGACCAATGTTTACCTTCCTCAGCTGACCAATGTTTACCCTTCTCAGTAGGTCCCGGGTGTCTTAGAGTTCTCGCTGGAGCGGATCATGAGGTTGTTGTGTGAGACGAAGATCAGCTGTGTGGTTGGTTGACATGGTGATAAATTAAGTATGTGTGTGTGTGTGTGTGTGTGTGTGTGTGTGTGTGTGTGCGTGCGTGCGTGTGCGTGTGTGTGTAGCTTGGTGTAAGAGAGTGTGTGTACGTGACTTTGGACGATATTTTTCTATAGGGGTGGTTTTAGGTCAAACAGGAGGGTGAAAAGAAAGATATTTTGTGTGAGAGAGAGAGAGAGAGAGAGAGAGAGAGAGAGACGTAACAACACAACAAATTACCCAACCTTCTTATTCTGTTATAATGTATTTACTAAAGCCTTGAAGGACACTATGTTGAGTGTCAGAGGGCGCCACACCTATTATTGTATATTTACTCTACAACAACTATTAGATATTATATTCTGATTTTTTATTTATGTTTGCTAGATAATACGAACCCACTACGCGTTTACTGTATGTCTTTTAAAGGGTGATACTGGGGCGTGGTTAAATGCCCATGAATCAGCTGGGATGAGAAATACTTCGTAACGTGTCAGCTGATATTTGTAAATAAACACGTCAGCCGCTATAAACAAACGCTAATCGACATACATTAACAAACAACTATTTACTCATCTGCTGTGAAATGTAAACAAATAAACATACTTTCTGTCTTTTGGGATTGATAAGTAAATAATAATTCTGTGTGAACCGTGCAAGACGCGTTAAAAAATATGAGAACAATTTTATAATCCATAGGAGCTGTAATAGAAAGAGGGAATTGTATCAGAGAAAGAAAACCTTTTTTATGAGGGATAATTCAAATGTTTACGAATACACGACCAATACTATTCTTTCTGTTATCTTTCGCCTTTTCTTTATGATCATCTTTTATCCACCAATTCATCTTTGTTCTCTGCATCTCCACACATCCTTGTCATCATCTCTTTAACAGTTACATCTTTGGCCAGCTTAAGCGTAGGCAGGATGACCACACGGGCTTAGATCGTCAAGTTTTTGTTCACCGTCCAGTGACATTTACACATGAATACCAGGGATGTTTTCTGATGAGTTTGTTATTGTATTTAACTCTTCAGAAAAATGTTAAAGGTGAATTACTTCTACCTTGTGTAGTTGTTGGGCGTTTTTGGATGGCTTTCATGGTAGTGGAGGAATTATGGTAGGAGTGTTAGTAATCTAATGTACACCATTGTCTAATGGTAGACCCTACTGCCTTATGGCACCACGAAAATTGTGACCAAGTCCCAGGTTGCTGGTCTGACTTTCTGCCTCATTTACACATAATTGCAGGGTCTCAGTTGTTTCTCTTACCTTTGACAACACAACATACATATATCGTTTCTCACTATTGATTTTTTCTTATTTTTTTTTATTTCTTTATTGTACTTTATTATTATTATTACAATGTTATTATTATTATTATTGTTATCATTATTATTTAATTTTTAGTTTTGTGTTTTTATTATAAATTTGATTTACTATGAATTATTATTATTATTATTATTATTATTATTATTATTATTATTATTATTATTATTATTATTATTAAATTTTCGCCCCCCAGGCCCCGATGTGGGTCAGTGACCTGTGCCCGGGTGGGCTAATCCTCCCCCCAAAAAAAATCTTTGGTAGCGCAGAGAGTATGGTAATCGGACTATGGTAAAATTGTAGTGAAGTTAATCAATGTTTGGAATTTATGGTAGTGTAAAGAGTATGGTAACACGAATATGGTAGAATGATAGTGAAAGTATCATTGGTCGTGTAATGTATGGTAACGCGACTATGGTAGTGTGAGATGAGGCAGGAGAGATTGACTATGGTAATATGGTTGGTGAGAAACGTCCAGATGTTGCTGTAATTGTGGTCAAACTTTTCTTCAATTTTCTTTTATTTTTACCTCGTGTTGTCTCCCTACCACCAACCACGCCCCACCTAACAACCACTATCTCAACTACCACCCGCAACCCCACCCCACCCAATCACTACGCCCAATAACCACCATCTCCACAAGCCCCATCCATCTACCACAATCATCGCTATCACCTCACCACACCCAACAACCACTACTACTACCACCTGTATCTATTAACCCCCTTAACTGTTACACCTACCTACCACTACGATACCCCTTATTGACTATTCAACTACCAGTCTCCAGCTACCACGATCAACCACCATTAGGCTTATTCATCTACCACAACCACTAGGCCTACTTACCCACTACCACTACCTACCACCACTGCTCACCCATCACGACTACCTACTACCACTACCTACCACAATTACTCGTCTATCACGACTACCTACTACCACTACTTACCACCATTACTCATATCACGACTACCTACTACCACTATCTACCACAATTACTCGTCTATCACGACTACCTACTACCACTACTTACCACCATTACTCATATCACGACTACCTACTACCACTACCTACCACAATTACTCGTCTATCACGACTACCTACTACCACTACTTACCACCATTACTCATATCACGACTACCTACTACCACTACCTACCACAATTACTCGTTTATCACGACTACCTACTACCACTACTTACCACCATTACTCATATCACTACTACCTACTACCACTATCTACCACAATTACTCGTCTATCACGACTACCTACTACCACTGTTAATATGACCAAACATGATAATGGCAATATACCTCTTCAATTGTTATTGTGCTAGTTTGTAGTGTCAATAATGATGATGGTGATGATGATGATGGTTGTGGTGATATGCTGGTGATGATGATGGGGATGATGTTGATGGTGGTGTTGGGGATGGTGATAGTGATATGCTAGTGATGATAATGATGATGGGGTTGGTGATGCTGATGATATGCTGGTGATGATGATGACGGGAATATGATGATGATGATGATGATGATGACGGGGATGGTGGGGATGATGGTGATGGTGAAATTATATGCTGATGATAGTGGTGATAGAGTGATATGGTGATAATGATTATAATGGAAAAGGTGATATAAATATGAAGATAACAGTGATGATAATTTCAGTAATACTAAATAATAATGATAATAATAATAATAATAATAATAATAATAATAATAATAATAATAATATCAAATAATGAAAGTATAAAGAAAGAGAATTTAACACCTAATACTTATAACATTATATCCATTACGTGACCTAATAATTACTGTAATTTGTCCGAATAATGACTGGCTCAATTAGTCTCTACAACTGATATCTGAAATAACTCTCTATGGTAAGTAAAATTATTCGCTATAGTAGTGACCATGAAAGGAAGTTACTCGTTTTCTCTCTCGGGCGTAGGATGTAAATACAGAAAGTGATAGATCGTGAAAATATGTATAATGTGGGTAATTTGGAGGTCACGTCAGGTCAAGTAAATTAGCCGGAAATGCCTATCATCATCACCTTGTCATCATTCCCGAGGGCCAGGCCTTCGTCAGCCACATCCCCCCACCAGGAAGGTAACGACAAGAAGTAGTAGCGAGAAAGGAAACCCGAAATTAAGAGAAAGTTTCAATAGAAGTGGCTGGCTGGTCGTTCAGCTGGCGGCGGTGGTGGTGGTGGTGGTGGTGGTGGTGGTGGTGTCCGGCGGGTCTTGGAGAGTCGAAGTAGCGGTGCGTCTCAGTGTGTGTCAGCTAGTCCAGGGAGGAGCACACCCCGCGCTGCTCTCTCTCTCCCCGCCAATAACTGGATCGCTTCGATTCTGATTATCATAACTTAATGAACCTCTCGCCACTACAGGCTTCCAGGAGGTGGGCGATCGTTCGTCTGACGTAACTGTTTTATAAGTGGGTGTAGTGGATCGCCAGGAAGAAGTTTGAATAGAGACATTCTAATTGGGTGTTAAAAGTTTGTGTTTGTGGTACAGATCTTCTCGCCTGCCTACCTCAGTGACCTCAGTCGTTCTTTACGGGTGGTTAACAGACTCAGTGTTGTGGAATCTGTCATTATACAATATTTGAGAATATATTGATAATTGGTGAGGAAAAAGTGGGTGAAAATGACCTAAAGGTAGTGAATAAGTGTGATCAGAGTGGATAGTACAAATAGCGAAGATTTTACCCTACAAGAGTCGTGTTGGTGATTTCGACGGTCGCGTAGAAAGTAATCCAAAGGGGCCGCCCGTACTACGACAACACGCAACCACGCACCAAATGTCATGCCCGTGCCCCCGCTGGTGACCTGACCCGTCTGGCCTTGTGCCCCCCTCCCTCCCGGCCCTCATGGTGAAGGTGGTAGTGACGCCAGCAAGATGAACCCCTCCAGTACCCTGCAGTACTTCAAGAAGCCCTTCTTCTGGAAGCTGGGCTACCTCAAGATTAACAAGAAGGCCAAGATAGTGAGTACTGTACTGTGGTGTTGTGACGTGTTAGTGCCTCCTGTAAATGGTGCCTCAGTCCTAACCTAACCTAATCAAACGAGGATTAGAGTCCAAAAGAATAGTTTAAATTATATCAGGACCTGTTAGAACTGAGGCACCCTTATGACCTGCAGGTGGTGTGGTGCCGTGTGGGGGTGAGGGTAGTGGGGTACGTTGTCTGACTCGTTGGAACTAAGAACAACCATCGTCTTTATTCTTATTAGTTTATTTGTTTTTATCGAGAGAAATGTTGTGACCTTTCCTCTGTTCTTATCTATTACATGAAATTTGTTACATTTATTTATTCATTGTCATGTTATTTTTATTTGAGTAATTCTTGTACCTTTGAAACACGGGTTTATAGTTGTTATTGTTTTTAAATAATCTGCTTAAAACACATGGAAACAACATTATCATTCACTCAATACCGTTTTTATTGAATAGTTTTATCGCTATAATTACTTTATTTATCTTTTTATCAAATTATCAAAACCAGGTGGCCTCATGAACTCTGGCCTAAATTGCTATGGGAAAAAATCCACTTCTGGCCTACGTCATTCCTTGGCAGGTGTGTGGACGAGGCTCCTTATTTTCACACCATTTAAGGAGTAAATTGGTCCACACTGTCACACACGACACCTATACGTGATATAACCTAACCTAACCTACTTCCCCGACCACGTTGGATATATGTGTAGTAAGGTAATTATTATGTGGTACTGTGTATGTATGTATGTATGTATGTATGTATGTATGTATGTATGTATGTATGTATGTATGTATGTGTGTGTGTGTGTGTGTGTGTGTGTGTGTGTTTAATTTGGGGGAGGGAATATGAAATGCTGATGTGAGAGGTGAATGTACGCACACACACAAACACACCAAGTCAAGCGTGTGTGGATATGCAAAAACCTGCATTTAAATATCTTATAGATTATCTGTTTTTGTGGAGGTTTACGCAGCTGTTGTTTACACATTATAACTGGCTCATTGCATCAATACGATTAAAGAATTTTCACCTGACAACTGCAACTAATTAAGATACTAAAATAGGTGTTGTGTATATTAAGTAATTATGTTGGTGTATAGGAACAGGTGTTATTAGTGTCATTCATCACCTATATTGTGGGGTTACACAGGTGTCATTTATCTTGACATTTGAAGATTAATATTGATGAAAAGTGTTCAAGTATTACAATTGTAAAACGAATATATCTCATAATTAAAATGATTGATGTAATAATTTCAACCTTAGGAAGATGTATGAGTTATATTGTAACATTTCATAATGGTATGTTGTAAGCTTTGGTGGATGAACAGGTAAAATTAAACGAACACCTGTGGAAATACACCAACATATACCTGTTTCATACTTAGGCAATAATCACCTTTTACAACACCTTCGGATCATCACTCACCTATTAAGGATGCAAATTTATTACCTATTTCGTATTAACCTCAAATATCAAGAAAAGCCTAAAAAAAAAGAAGAAAAGAATCTTATGTAATTTAGAAAGGATTGGGTTTTTTTTTAATGAACCACGAGCGTCATGTGAAGCTCAAGTTACCTGTCGAGTCATACCTGAGGTGTCCTCGCTGTTGGAAATAATGAGTCATGGATTACACCTGTGGGAAATGGGGTGTGTTTTGGGGGTTAAGTATACAGGTGTGTGTAGGTGGTGGTGTATGCAGGTGTTGGGTATGTGTTTAGTGGGTTAAATATACAGGTGTTTGTGGGTGATAGTGTAGCAGGTGTTGGGTATGTGTTTAGTGGGTTAAATACACAGGTGTTTGTGGGTGATAGTGTAGCAGGTGTTGGGTATGTGTTTAGTGGGTTAAATATACAGGTGTTTGTAGGTGTTGGGTATGTCTTTAGTGGGTTAAATACACAGGTTCTGTAGGTAGTAGTGTGGCAGGTGTTTATGAAGCAGATGTTAGACTCAGATAAGGATTGCTATAGAGAAAGTGGTTGTCTATACAGCATCAGTCGTTAAATATAGCAGGTATTGACTCAATGTACGAAGTTGTTACCGTAGATATAAAAGCAATTGGATATACTAAAGATTCTTATAGGAAATGGATCAGTATATGAAATTTTTTAACTATACTAAATGTTAACTCTATCTATGCTGACTAAAGCAGGTGTTGACTATAGAAACTCAGGTGTTGGGTTGTAACAGATGGTAGGTATGTCACACAGATTTCTCAACGGGTGGGGAGGGAGAGAGAGAGCGTACGCAGGGTAGAATGGTAGTGTGGGGCAGGGGATATGATAGTGGTTTTGAGGGAGGAGGGTGTAGTGGGGGTTGTGGAGGAGGGGGTGTCTTGGTGGTAGGGTACTGTAGGGGTGTCTGGGTGGTAGGGAGTACTTGGCAGGGGGGGTCCTCCATTCAACAACGAAATATGATGGGGGGTGAAGGGAGACGTGAATGGACATCATTGTCAGGTGTCCACTTTCTGGAAGTAGCTGTGTTGTTGC